TTCAACATTCTCATCTTCAACATTCTCATCTTCAACATTCTCATCTTCAACATTCTCATCTTCAACATTCTCATCTTTAACATTCTCATCTTTAACATTCTCATCTTTAACATTCTCATCTTCAACATTCTCATCTTTAACATTCTCATCTTCAAAATCATTGATTGTTTTTAATGAATCATCGGTTGTTTCTATTGATTTTATCGAATCTGCAAACCATGTGGGTGGTGAATCAGCTGGCATCGATTCGCTTCTGTTTCTATTCGACTGTGAAGATTCGCTATCTACCGGAATATTGGAGTCATCGCTAAAATTTCGAGAATTCAAGAGCGAAGTTTCTATCTGAAGTTCTGATTCAACGTCTTCCATGTGTTCTGGCTCTTTGCACATATTCATATTTGGGAACCATTGATTTGGTGTTTCCGCGTGTCTAGATTCGTATAATGAATTTAATCTTTTCCATTGTAAATCGCGGTCATCTAATAAGATATCTTTTGTACGTTTTAGTTGTGAAAACTTGTTCGTTGCAAATTCAATAATTTGTTCATTTTTAATTTCTTGTTTATCGTATCTTTTTTCATATAGAAACTCTAATTTCAAATAATCGTTAATCAACGATACAACAATTCTAATAAACTCAAAGACTTTTTGATCTTGTTCACTTTCTAATTCATTTTTGCGCTGACTGATTTTATGTCCTCTTATGCATACACGCAAAAATTTACCGATATTTTCTACTAGTGTTCTCTTGGCTTCTGACATTGCTGTTATTTGCGTGACCAACTGCAATAATCCGATTGTTTCGACGATTGCTTCGTATTTCGGGTGGTGTTCTCCAATATATTCGGACCAAAAATCAAAAAAAGGTGAAGTTGTTGAGGGTGTGTTTAAGTTATTATCGTAAGTGCTATTGGGATTCTCTTCAGACATTTTGAAGAAATGCAAGTTAAGCCTCTATAGGAACAAAATTACGAGACATTAAATACTTTGTTTTGATGGTTGATTGTGGATTTTGTTCAATTCATTTTTGTATTTTACTTTCGTTTGCATTATATTAGCTTGTTCATAACAGATAAGTATTGTTTATTTTCCAGATGTTAACAATTGCGAATTATGATTTAGTATTATGATCTCTTATCGTTATCAACTATTCACAAATTCTTTAAATAGAATTCCAGTAATAATATTAAAGCTTGTATGGAAAAAAGTTATGACTTGTATAAAGATAGAATGATACTAATTTTACTCTTCATTAATAGGCCTATTTTTCTCATCTCGATATGCCATTTGATTGTATTGAGTCTCCGAATGATTGATTTTCACAAAAATAAATACGTAGTGTATAAATTTTTCTGGTTCATTTAAAAAATTATCAAATACTTTGGGCTTTTATGATGGTTTTCTAAAGAGCTATTACTTTAATGAAAAATTATCTGGTAACGTAGGTGTATAACATCTAAAGTCGTCAAACATTTGTATTTTATAAAATGTATAAACTTTTCAGCTAAGAATTAAATACAAAATTTAATCCGTGAATATGATAGAATAGACCCTTCTGAGCATATTTACGGATTAAATTTTGTGTTTACTTCTTAATAAAGAAGTTTATCCGTTTTATAAAATACAAACGTTTGATGACTTTAGATGGCATGCACCATACATGTATCTAAACACCTGGCATTGCATTGCCTAAAATTATACAACATACACTGGTCGAAGTCATAATAATACGTGTGTGACATTAAAAATTAAATATATTAACCTTGCATACATTTTTTCGTCCTTTTATAATTTTTTTAAATTATTTCGAGAAAGTAGTGTGCCTCAATATCCTTTCCAAAACTAGGGAAGGGATAAATTCTTCGCCGCGATTCTTGGTCCATGAAAATCATTAGGGGTTCGTCGAACCTGAAGTACCACAAATGGCTTCGTAAGAACCATTTGGAGGAGCCAATTTGCTAAGGTTTCCAAGTACAAATACAAATGTTTTAATATTTTGTTGCTGGTCACGACACCAGATGCAGTTAAAGTCACGAGTTTCAGAAAAAAAAAGTTGGTTTCCTTTATGTGACTTACCTCCCTCCAGATATATACACTAAAATTTGTAACAATTCTTAACACTTATTTAAAAGATAAATTACTTTATCACAAACGAACACGTATAGAATGTCCAATTTCTAACCAAAGAATTCGATGTTTGATTCCCACACATAGTTTTTTTATTAATTCAAAAAAGGAAAAATTGATATTACTCTTTTATTGCTTATTTGTGAAATGATCAGATTTGAATTAAATTGCAAATTTTCAATTTATAGGCACTACAACTATATGTCTTTCTGCTCGATGTAATATATATTTTCCTTTGAGAAACCGTCAGAAAATACGATGAACTGGAGTTATACACTCTTCAGTTCATGCTTGAAATGTATTGGTCCAGAGTTCTGCACAAAACATTCCAGCATGTGCCCTTCCACCATCGTCAATTTTACGCGTAGATCATTGCATACATCAAACTAATCCACAAATGCTAAGCAGTGTTTTACAGAATTCTTTTGATCTAAATTTATTTCCTTTGGTAAAAGCACACGGTGCTTAAAATAATACAAAACTTTGGCAGGCCAATGATATACGGATCTGACAGTCTCACCAGCTCTTTGTATTTTATCTATACAGGAAACGATAACATAAGAACTCAAATCAGAGCATGAATACTGTGAGTCAAAGATCTCATCTCCCAATCGAATTGTGACAAAATGTTCCATACGTAAATTGCATTTTGACCTGGTTTAGGATCACATGCTGTAGAAGGTAAATCCATAGACTTTTGTATAGTATCTTGCTAATAAACGTACTGTTTTGTCATTAAATTGTGAAATATGAGATGGTGTCTTAAAAGAAGATAATTTTTTATTTTATAGTTAACATTTTCATCCATTATCAAACACATTTTCCCTTGTATTATAAAATAAAAAATTTAAAATAAATAAAAAATTTATTCGAATGTTATCATGTGTAGCATTTCGGTATCTGTTGCGGCGAATGTCTGAAAATTTGGCATTTAAAACTTGGTCATATGTGATGTATTTTATTACATTGCTATCGTTATTTTTAGTATTTATTTTATGGTGTATTTTTTTGAATAATTTTATAATGTGCGACGCATAGATAGCTTTTTATAGTATACAAATTTTTTTTAGTACACAAATGAATAATTTTATATAGATAATTTTTTTATAACATATAAATTCTAGAAAAATCTGAAAAAATATGTGTTAAGATATAAAAATAAAAAATATTTATAATAAAATTGAAAACTTTTATATAAGATAAAACTTTAATTTTTACTATATTTTATTAATAAAATTGCACACGTGATTCTATAATTCTATTAGTCACGGTATATTAATTTGTGATTATTATATAATATTTATATTTATATTAATGATTTATATAGATCATTTTATTTAAAGCTAAAAAAAAACTTTGTTTTCTTTCTTTTTGCTTAGTATAGAAAGCCTATTATTCATATTATTTCTGAGTTTACTTATAAAAAGTTGTAAATTTTTTCATATTAATTAGAAAATTCTCTTTAATTTTAAAAATTAATTAATAAACTTATATAATACTCTGTATCATTAAAAATATATAAGTTTAATTATATAATTAAAATTATTTATTTGTAAAAAATTTAATTTTACTTATAAAAATTATTAAGTTTTATTTAGAAAATTAATTAATAAAAACTTAATATAAGTTTGTATTATTATAAAATTGATATTTATTTACTTATAAAATTTTAATATAATTAAATTATAATAATTATAATTGAAATTATTATAATTTTGACTAGAATTATTATAATTCTAATTATAATAATAATTAATATAAAATTCTTTTTATAGTTATATCTTTTATAATTATTAAATTTGAATTTTTCAATAATAATAACTATAATATAATACAAAATAATTAAAGTATTAATTATATGACTTGTCTTATTTTTATTCCAAAAAAATAAATAGAATTTAAATGAATCAAAAAATCAATTTTAATCACTTGCAAAAAAATCATGTAATTATTATAAAGTACATGTTATTTACTAAGTAATTTATTATAATAACTAATAAAATAACAAAATATAACTCATAATTAATTAATCAAATTTGATTTAATAATTACAAATTATATTATTTGTTTCATTAATTATTAATTATATAAAATAAAATTATTAATCAAAAATAAGTAATTATTTTTTAAAAAAAATATTATTTTGTAACTAGATTTATTTACTATAAAATAATAATCTTCTTTTTTGATATAAAAATTCTTTGCCTTTTAAAAATAACTAAATTTTATTAGTATTTTTAAGTATTCTATATTATATAAAAAATTAACTTTATATTATATATTTTATATTTATTATAAAGTATTAAAATAAAGTAGTAATAATAATTATCTATATTATATATTATTAAGTATTTATTAATATATTAAAATAAAAGATTAATTAAATCTAATATTGAAAAATTTAATATTTATCTATAATAATATTTTTCTTATAAACTAATAATATTTAATAATAAATAATAATTATTATAAATCTAATTAGTTTTATTAAATACTTTTAATTAGTTCTTTATTATAAATTAAATTTTTATTATATATATATAGTATAAATTACTTTTATTAAAATTTAATATATATTTTATTTTATAAATTAATTAATTATTTTATATTATTATTATTTTCATAAAAAAATTCAGAATCACTTAATTATTGATCAATAAAAATTAAGATGTATTACAAAGAATATTAATATAATATTATATAATTCAATAATAATCAAATTAATTTGCTCCTTTATTTTTATATTGTATCTCATTATAAAATTATATTTAGTATATATTATTATCTTTTTGATATCTAAATCATAATACCTAAATAATAATTATATTTTTTGTTTTATTTTCTTTTACTATTGCACTAAATTCATTTATTTTTGTATTTTTCTACTATAAAATTTATATTTTTATTATTAACTTATCTCATTTATATCTCTATTATACTTATTTTGATCTTTTTATTTCATTATTTTTAACCAATTATTCTTATATTTATTTTATTTTTTTCACTCTTGTTACAATTATTCTTTTTATTTCTTAATTTTTTTATTATAATTATTTATAATTATACTTATATTATTGTTTTCTTTTTATATAATACTTTTTTTACTCAAACTCTTGCTTTTTCTTATCTTTAATCACTAAAATCACAACTAATTTTCTTTTGTAATTTCCTTGTTAATAAATTTGTATAATGTTATCGTAGTAACATAAATTTCTCTAATTCGATAATCTTTTATTGATTATGTGAAATTCTCTTTTTCTTAATTTTTATAATTTATCATTTGATTATCATTATTTTTATCCAATCGTATAATTATATCACTTTTATTTTATTACCTAAATCTTATATTTATATCCTAATTATCATATTTATTCTCTTTTTCTTATTTCTATATACTTTTATTATTCTAAATTTGAGATTTATAATTTTGATCACAAATATTCTATATTAATATTAATGTTTCACATATATAATTATATTTAGTAATACTGTGTAGATTAATTAGTTAATACATTTGTAGATATCTTCTTTTATATTTCATTTTTTCTTTTATATTTATATTATGCGAAAATCTTGATTTCAAAATCTTGATTTCCAAACCTTGATTTCAAAATCTTGATTTCAAAACTTTAATCTGAAAATCTTAATCTGATATTACAAAATATATATATTAGATAGTATTAATTAGTAATAATATAGTAATTTTTGTATTTGAAAACATATATAAAAGAACATGCTTTCTTAAATTGAAATAAACAGTTAGTTTTGACTTGACGATTAGTCACAGATTGAATTATTTGGAA